GGTTCGAATCCCGCTCGTGACACTGACTTTTTTATCTCAACTAAAAACCTTAATTAATTGAAAGATATTAATTGGTCAAGCGGACCACGAAAACTAGTGAATTTAATAAGTTAAAATGATGTATGCTTCACTAAAGCTCTCCGTGGCCATTTCATTATCGCCGAGAATCAAATAGATTACACGACATTTGAAAAACGGCAAAAAGGAGGGCAAGTTCAAAAGGTGGGGTTGAGATGGGAAGTTAGTGCCCGAGTGGATCGAAGCCACGATAACTCAAGTGGTAGAGCAGCGGCGTATCTAGCCGAAGATCGTGCGTTCGAATCCCGTTCGTGACACTGACTTTTTTAATCTCAACTAAAAACCTTAATTAATTGAAAGATGTTAATTGGTCAAGTGGACCACGAAAACTAGTGGATTTTATCATCACATTATCACAATTTTTTTGCGACAGCAAAAAAACGAAGCAGTGTGAAAAATTTTATTTCCCCAATTGGAAGAGCAAAAAACGAATATCGACACTGCCAAAGAAAACACATGGTTTAATTTTTTTTTAATTATTTTTTTTTTTTTATAAATCGCACGGTCTACTAACTTCTTCAACTTTTATTTGACCTAAGCCCTTTTACAACACTTTTTTAAGTTGAAATATTTTTTTTTTTGCAAGAAACATTTTATAAATGAACAAAGAAATAATAGTGTGTATAAACTATCTCAACCAACACCGTACTTAAAAATTAATTAATTGAAAAGAATTTATTTGGTCAATCGGACCACGAAACTAATCGAGTGTACACAAGGTACTAATTAAAACGTTTACCAATTACTTGACTTTTCTATTTTTTGTCTGATTTAGACTTTATTTATTAATTTTTATTTTATTTATTTTTTGTAACAGTAACTTTTTGTTTTCTTGTATTCTAACTTAAATCAATTTCATATCTTTAACGAATCTAAAGGTTTACAATACTTTCAGATTGGTCGTTTTTTTGTATAATAAAAAATAGACAATTGAGATATCTCGTAATTTTTTAATGATATAATCTTCTTTTCAGTTGACTAATTTGCTCAGCAAAAATTCATAAAATTTCAAGGTTTACGTTAGAACTTGTCTTCTTCAGATGAATTTCGCTCATTTCGCAAACCAGTAAATTGTCTTAGGGTCGGTTTAACGCGCTTATTTATTGTTGGAAATATCACTTTGGACAAATAAACTCCGATGTCGTACAAACATTTTCAAAGTGAATCAGCGCTCTGAAAGTGTAATTTGGCGTGTAATGACTTAACGACTCCGGGAAAACAATAACGTAATCTTCTATAAACTGGAACAAACACAATTAACAGCCGAGTTAAATGCACTGAGAAACTCGGGCCGAAATCAAATTAAACGGGTAGTGTTCATTAGACCAGTAATTTATCACTGATATAAAGTCTCGGCTAGATACGGAACAGTTCGGATCCTCGACCCGGACAGAAGCAAACGGCCGCCGGATCTGAGATTTCCAACAAAAAAATCGCTGTATCTATTGTACTCGGTTTATCGAAGCGGATGAACTCTCAGTCGAAATGCAAGCGGGTTAAAGGTTAACCAAAACTATCTTTCCAAATAGAATCATTATAATTCTTGGATTACTGAACTATTGATAGGATGGATTATCGTAAAAATTGTCGATATAGATTATGTAAATGAAAAACAAAAGTATATTCAATCTTAAATCTTTATATATAGATTTAGTGTGTCGGTGGCCGCAACGATATATGCGTTGACACGGCGCTCATCACTGTAAGGTAGAGGTCCCATCCATTGAATCCAGCGGCCCTGCAGTCAAACCCGACATTCTTAAAAATGGGCTTTTTTCAAAAACAACGGTACCCTGATGGTTGATATGACCTCTGCTGTTGCGAACCCTCATAAAAATATCGATTGGAACCAAATCTGGACTTTGAGATGGCCCCACCAAGCACTCAATTTCAACCTCATTTATGTAGTTATCAACAGTATGTGCTCTACGGAGACTGGCATTATCCTGCATTTGCAACAATCTCTCACCGATTGCGGGAGGGGGCAAATGACACTACACGTTCTTCGATTATGGCTTGTAAGTATCTCTGTGAAGTTCAGATGTTCCTCGCACATGTGTGCACATTGGAATGGCACCGATGGATCTATATAGGATGGGGCGTACCTTTTTCCTGAACGTCTCCATATGAATGCCCACCTCGGCCAACTCTCACCTAATCTGTAAAGAGAATTCGTCCACAATTTCCCAAGTTCCGATTCACATGTACCCGTGTGAATTGAAGCCTGCCCATTTTCTGAGCTGTGGTAAGAGAGGTCCTTCAGCCGGGTGCCGAGCCCTGAGGATGTTTTCATTGAGCGTTCCTCTTGTAGTCCTGGAGGAAATCTAAACACTTCGGACTTGCATTATCAGATTTTGTATCTCATTTCCCGTATCGCTGCGGTTTCGTAGAGCTCGATGGTGAATCTATAGTCTCTGTCGGTAGTAGGCCCTAGGTCTTCTAGTGTGAAGCCCTGTTTTTCTAAAGCAAAAAAACAAAGGCCGATGAACCCTCTCAATTGTAGAGTGATTTACACTCAGTCTCCTGGCGACTTCGCGCTGGCTTTATACCTCCTCTAATAATGTTATGAAACTGTCAATGTCAAACTCACTCAAATGCCTGACTGAAGCTATGGAAAAATGTTTAAGAATGAGAATAATAACAAACGAAATCAACGAAGGAAAAATATTAACTGATCTTTAGGCGTAGCACAATGAATGGGCTTAATGCTAGTTTTTGTGCAAATGGGATTAATCAGTACAAAAGTAAATAAAGGAAATAAACAAAGTATTATTTATTAAATCCATTATATTTAGTGGTCTAGTGATCAAATTACTTCTTTCAATTAATTAATCTTTTTATGTAAGGTTTTTGGTTGAAATGAAAAAGTTAGTGCCACGAGCGGGATTCGAACCCACGACCTAAGGTTAAATGCGTATTTAGTGACTTCGAAGTCACAATAGCTCACAGGTGGTTAGAGCGGCGGCGTATCTAGCCGAAGATCGTCGGTTCGAATCTCGCTCGTGACACTGAGTTTTTCATTTCAACCAATACCTTAATAAAGATTAATTGGCTGACTGTTTTGGAATACATTAAAAAAGAAACAAAAAACAAAATAACGGGAATAAATTAAAATTGTCCGATCCGAACCTGATTATTCTAAAGATAAATTTCTGAAGCAAGTGCAAAGAATCAAAATAGAGATTAAATGTTGAGAACCATCAAATAATAAAATATACCTAAGCTATAGCGGTTAGAGCAGCGGCGTATTGAGCCGAAGGTTGTGTGCTCGAATCCCGCTCGTGGCACTAAATTTTTCATTTCAACCAAAAATTTTACATAAAAATATTAATTAATTGAAAGAATCATTATTTATTGTTTACTTCTACTACTATAGCTCCTCATTAACTTATCTATTGAACAAAAATAATGGATTTAATTATGAGAAGTAAATAAATTGAGTGGTGCATTAAATTTGTCCGTTAGTGTAATTTCTACCATAGCAAAACTCTTCGTTCAAAGATTAGACGAAATCAAACAGTATTCAAACACAAATAATTATCCCTAAATACATAATTTAAATGAAAATCTATTTAAAAATAACACTTCATTAAATTTATATTTATTACAATTAAGTCCGCCGTGGCCGAGTGATTAATAACGCTGGAATTGAACCCAGACTTACCCCGTGAAATTTTATTTGAGATTCATTTGGAAAAAGCATAATAAAGCGGTTTGAGCCTTTAACCGCGAAACCCAACGGGTAGTTAAGCCCTCCTATATGAGTGGAATTACGTTACTTTTACATTTTTTACTTATATTTAGTGCTATTTTAAATAATAATAAAAGGAATATTCATCTCGTGCCATTTTATGTAAACGCTTGTAATTTTTATAAATAATTATCATAATTTTTACGAAAAACTTTTACACTTTATATAAAGTAGAAATCATTAAAATCTACTCCAAAGAAATTATCACTCCTAATGTTCAACTATTTCGCACCATTGGATTCCAATCGGGTTGGTTCTTATTTCTTCAAACAATCCGATACTTTTTCTCAAGACTCAAGCCAAAACCCAAATAATAACCTTTTGTTATCCCCATCCTTTGTTTTCTTATATTTTCTTGATTCAATACTCACAAAAAAGAAACACGGGTTTTGGCATTAGTAAATTCGTTTTACTATTTTGCTGTGTTTTAATTTCACTTTATTAGTCTATTCGTCTATTGTTTTTGATCGATCTTAATCTCCGTCATGACATCATTCACTATGGAAGAGCATAAAGGAGAAAAGCAACATGAACTATTTCTATTTTTATGAACTCACTGTATTTCTTAATTTTTTAAATATTTTGTTATAGGCATCCTGTATGTATACATTTTTGCGCAAATATAAATACGAAATCTAACCATAAACAAAATTGTGAATTCAATGAATTTAGTATATTATAGAAATAAAACAAAATGATTAAATAATTAACATTGTTCTGTATGGCATAAACATGTAATATTATAATGGAGCATGTATCAATAAAATCCCCGGCGTTAGGATTACTCTCGCCGGAAAAATACACACACACACACACACACTCGCACAATAACTTTAGAAAGTTGTCAAAAATTCAATTTATCACTTTTACGGCGATGACGCTAAACCATGATGACTGACTGATCTTGCAAAACTATCTAACTTGGCGCCTTGAAATGTACGAAACTGGCATAGCAAGCGTTTTCTTTCTATCAAAATCGAGTTTCTTAAAACTTATCACGGCTTTACACCATGTAATACGTTTTTCTATTCAAGCATGTTTCTCAAATCAACTATTGAATTATCAATCAATTAAAAACAAAAAATATGTAAACTCAGTTAAATTTACTTTGACAGAAAATATTATCAATTCTGATTAAAATTCTAATGAAAATCGTATTATTTTGTTACAGTTGAGTTTTGGGTTTTGGCATTGGATCACGAACTTCGCCTGGCCAACGACATTATTGGTAACGTTCACGTTAGAGATCCGACAGGAACAAGAATCGCAATTTGGGAACAGATACCACTCAATGACGGTGAGTAAAATCTTATGATTCTTCCTTCTTGAAGGTGGGATAATAGGTCATCTCAAAAAACCACAACCAGTTTTTATCCACAACGTTTCGAATTTATTTTAATCCTTCCTCAGGTGAGTTAACGCCTGTACACAGAACAAATATTTTTTACATTTTTATATCAACATGGTTATCATTGTTTCTTCACTACTTACAATGGTTAAAAAAGTGGTCGTAAAATTATAAAATTTGAAGAAAATAGTAATAAATTTTATTTTTTCTGCTTAGAAATATTGATTAGGTACTTTTTTATTACGAGCATTCGTTGGTTTTTACAATTCTCCAAACGATCAACTACATTGAAATTGAAGTTTGGAGGACCTCTTTAAAATTATTGAGGTTAGCCCTTTAAATATGCATATGTTTTACGCGTTACAAATAAAGAGAAAATAAATGTTAATTCAATAATACACCTTCCAAGGCCTTCGACTTGGCCTTCCACAGTATATTATTTCTCAATCTCTACCAATATGAGTTTAGTTATTTTAAACTATTACTTACAAAATTATAGAATTAAGTTTGTTTGACGAGAAAATTATAGAATTATTTAAAATAATATAATAAATTGACTTATTTTATTACTGATTGAATTATTCATTTTATCTAACGTTTTGGTGAGATGAAGTCACGATAAGTCAAGTGGTTAGCGGCGAATTGAGCCGAAGATCGTGGGTTCGAATCCCGCTCGTGGCACTTTTTCATCTCAAACAAAATCTTAGATAAAAAAAATGTTGAAAAAATGAAAATGTTTTTCTGAAACCTACATCATACCAGACCGCATCTCACGATTTCTTAGATAAAAGAAATAATTGAATTAATTAAAATAAGGGGCGGGTGTGGGAGCAACGGTTTAGGGGTTGATACTGCGCTCACAACTGTAAGGTAAAGATCTAAGGTTCAAAACCAGCAGGCCTACCCTCAAACCCGATATATTTACAAATAGGCTTTTAAAAAATCTTTGTACGTACTTGAAATACTCTCTTAACCATATTAAAATAGTAAATAAATAAATTGCGTGTTGGTTGAAAAAGTTGGAGAAGGTTTCTAGTTCTCTGGTTGTACATCGGACAGACTGGAAGGAAACTAAGGGATCGATTCAAAGAACATCTTAGATCCTTCAGAGACAATGACTGAAAATGAAATTACGCCACACACTTAATACACTACAACCATGAACCAAACACAATAGAAACAAGCATGACATTAATACACAGCGCACAAAAAGGACGAAAACTAAACATACTGGAGCAAGGTTAAAGCACTAACCAGCTGCTATAGATTAATTAGTGAAGGCAGCTGGAACCATAAGGGAAATAATATAGTACAGTCGAAAATTCTACATTTATTGAGTAAGGTCAACAACCAACTGCTGGGTGTAAGCGATAAAAAGGTGAAAACACCTTTAGGGAAAAAGTACTTTCAGGTAGTTACTCCCTGTGACTATAACTATAGGTCTGATGATGACCATCGTAGCCTAGACTGCTTCACCGATGGCTCACTCATTAAGGATAAGGGAAGTGGTGCTGGAATACACATACCTAAATTAGGGATCAGCATCTCCTATCCTCTTGGTAATAACACCTCGGTCTTTCAGGCAGAGGTCTGGGCCATTAATGT